AGCCATTTTCAGACTGTAAATAATAACCCATCTGGTGTTGTGGTGCGAGAGTCTGCTTTTTGGGCGGTCAAACCACCGGGGTTCACTGCTGTCAGTCAGCCAGTCAGTCAGACAGTCAGTTAGCGTCGTGTCTCATGGTGAACTCGCATGCCACGCTGAACTGAGAATTGCATTTAAAGCTACTAAAAATTTCTATCGATTTACTGAAGGAGTTAATTCACATACTTTGTGCGTGAAGATACAGCTTCCCGCGGGCCATGGCTTTGACATCCTCCGCCGCTCGCGGCCTCGCACCGCTTCTCCTGGTCGCCGTGGTACAGCAAACAGCAGCCAGCAATATGCACCACTTCGCTTTGCAACATTCATTCATAGGTGACGACGGCAAGCCGCGCTGCAGCAGCGGCCCACTGCCGATGTATGTATGTTCGCCATGGCCATCTTCCTGGTCTAACATTGCCGAAAGCCCAGCGTGCTTGCGATGAATGCGGCAGGCAGTCCACGGCCTCCAGGGATGTGTTGCCTCCTTAGCGAGTCTGTCGAGGACAGCACGAGGACCTCCTACTGCGGCTGCACTGGCTGCACCGGGGCCGAGCCCTTTTCGGTTCCAAGGAAGCTGACTACCCTAGTCACTGCTAACGGTTGTCGGTTTAACCGTTTGCAGCACTGCGGTTCAGTTATTCGCCCGCCAGGAGGCAGCGAACTCGAGCTGTCTAGCGGACTTCTTTTACGGATACCCAAACTACAGCCGTGTTTGAACTCGTCGGGTTGCCGTGGGAAGACACGGGGGCACAGGTTGTGGGGAGACCACGGTGATGCTGCATGCAGAGTAGCGCATCCATTTTGGGATGGCGGCACGGTAGTATATACGGCACGCCGCCGTCTTGCCAGGTCCCCAAATAACCCCGTGGGGCAGGTAGGGCGCCGCACTGTCCGAATGACGATATAGGTTATATCCGTTAGCTGCCCTTGTCCTTGAAGCACCGAAATGGTGCGGATGCAACAGCAGGTTCGCATGGCGGCTAGGTTGCATGCTTTGACTGCTGAAATGCGGATGCAGGCGCCTTGCAAGCAATGTTCGAGTACGGGGCATGGAAATGACTGGGCATGCTGAGAAGTGTAAAATCATCTCCAATGTATGTGTCACATTGTATTGATGCTGAACACATCGGTAACTACAGTGACAGAAGGTAGTACGGCACACAATCATCTAAACACACGCGCTGAGGCACTTCGCCAGCATGGCCTTTTCAGCGGCCAGCTGCAACATTAACTGCTATAGGTAATCGGCGTACATTCTTCAGGTGTTGTCGTACAATCGTCAGATATCCACACCATTCCCGTACGGTCGCTCTCACCC